AATGTAATCATTTTCGCTATATGTCAAGTGAGAACAAGTTTTCGGAAATCTCTGCAATCATCCCTTCACTAGCAATACCAATCAGACGAACAAGACAAGCCCAGTCAGCACATCCTTTCATTGTCAACCTCGAAAGATGTCGAACAGCTCTTTATCAAGACTCCTTCATTCATAGAACGGCTAGGCTCTGGAATTCATTGCCTGTGGAAGTATTCCCAACAACATATAATCTCCAAAAATTCAAAAAAAATTCCAATACCTACCTCCTGTCCCTATCCTCCCTAGGAACGCACGATGTTCTTTGAACATTATAGGGATTCCCTTTCGTGCGCTCCAATCGATAAAAAAAAAAAAAAAATCAACTTTATTAGTACTATGACTAATGATGACCATTTGAATGGTCGAAACATGTCTCAATCTGCAGTAATGAAGCATATTTAAGTGTACATTTCACCATCAGTAAACTTTTGGAGACGACTTTGACTCGAGTATGGACTACTTCAGAAGATTTTGATATCACGATGTTCTGAATATATTCGAGATAATTCTGTCGTATCATTGTTCACGAAACTGTGTTGTCGAGCCACACCATGAACCCGTCAGGACGAGTGGTTACTGTACGTCAACACAATTGAGTTAACAATGAAAGACAGAATCATGAGAATATATTCAGAACAGAGTGGTATTTTGCTAGACTATTCGACGTTCACGAAGCATAAAAAGCATTTATTATAAATGAGTGATTCATGCTGACAAGTACAGCCATAATTATTTTATGCCAATCTAACAGGCGTTGCTTCGCTATCCAAGGTTACATCCAGACTTTGATTTGCTATCCATGGTTACATCGTTGAAAACATAATTACTGACAGACCAATCAGAATTGAAAGACAACTCATGTTTTCGCGATGAGCACACGTTGTCTGGCTTGTGATTGGTCAGATTAAACATGTTTGACCTGATTAATCAATCCAATAAATGTTACAATGGAAAACAATCTGAAAACTAGGCTAAATGTTCAGATCTTATTGTGCAAAATCATATCAAGATATCCCATTTTGCTAAAAATAAACTTGGTGTTTTGATGTTCAAACCTTAGGGGATTATGAAGACAATTGCAAGATGCAGTTGTTTTTTTTTTATGTTCTGGTTCCCACGAAAAGGGATATCCTGTAATGTTCAGAGAACATCGTGAGAACCAAGGGAAATTTGATAGGAATTGGCGTTCTTCTTAAATTTCTGTAGGTTATATATGCCTCGGGGAACACCTCCCTTGGCAATATGTTCCAGAGCCTCGCTGTTTGTTGGATGAAAGAGTCTTTGAAAAGAAATGTTCTGCAGGTCCCCACGAAGAATTGCGAAGTCTCAACTCGACGGGTTAATCTCGCGGGTACTGCCAAGGGAGGAACAATTGTTGATATTTCAGAAGAGCATCGTCCATGAAAATATCTATGAAATAGAGCCAGATCGACAACTTTTCTACGATATTCCAGAGAAGTGAGTGAGTTTGTGAGCGAGGCATAACCCACGAGACGAATTGCCCTTTTTTTTGGACAGAATCAAACAGTTTCAGGGTATGTTTGGGTGCTACACTCCAAAAATATGGGAACAGTATTCCAGGACAGGTCGGATATGTGCCTTATAGATCATAAGCAGCTGATTGGAAGTGAAATAGTTCCTGTCCCGTTTTTATATGATATTGTCTTCTCCTGTAGATGCTAGTATTGCGAATCACTCTTCAATGCGTTGAAAAATCCTTTTATAATTCATTTATTTGTACTATCATCATGTTTATGATCATTCATACCAAGAAAATATCGTTTGTTTTTTCATCGAAACATTGTTGTTCTTCCACATTCCTCCATCGTTTGGGCAATTAGTGAAATTAGAATCAAAAGCACGCCACTTTTTAACACACATTTCATGGTCTACTTGTGATTTTAACAAGAAGTACCAACCGGTATATTTTCCTCATAAACCACGATCAAACTTGAGTAGGTAGTTATTAATTATTGAAATAAGCACATAGGCAAGTGTTCCACAGTAAACTTTGACTATCATTCACCAAGAATGTCATCAGGAACGTCATAAATAATGACTGATGAAGTGGGATTGAATAGGTCTGCCTTCCTTTCACCCTAGTTCTAGTTCATACCATAATCTGATAATCTTCTTCAGAATGTTGCATCATTTTCACTCGCTGTACTGGCTCGAATTTTTTCATATTGAATGTTTGTTGTCTTTATATGTATCATATTTGATCAAATGCATCAAATATATGTTGTTCTTTTTAAACCATAATTTTTCACCTGCCTGAACCATCCAACCACCCATATTTTGCAGTTTATATATTTTTGGTGGATGATTGTATGATGATTCATAAGGTTTTCGCCAATTAAAAAATCTTCATAATTTATCAACAGCAAGCCTGAGTTAAATTGAAGCTGTTTACGCGAGTAGAAGACGATATTTTCTTCATGACTATTCAATAGAGTTTCTTTTTACAATTTGGAATATAAATCGCTCACAGTCTAGAATTGAATGATAGGACAAACCTCAAAACAGACTCAATGTGGCATTCCGGAGATGAACATCAAATAACCAACTATATACTTCTTTTGAAACGCCTCGTCGAACACGTTGTTTTTTTATGTATGTTGTATTTCTATGTTTGGACTGCTTCATAAGAAAACCTCGAAGAAAATTCCATATCTTTATTTTCTATATCTGACCTCCGTTACTCATTTATCATTATTCCTAATGGCAACTGTAGAACTTCCAGGAATACGGGAATCCAACCATATTATGTCAAACTGTGAGCTGGTGATATTTATGGCTAATAAATTGTTATATACGCGAATTGCTGTTCGTATCTGAAGCACAATTCTTATAATCATAAAGAATTATGAAAATAAATAATTCAATTGCTATATGGTCGATTGGTCCCATTATTCTATTAATTTTATACAGGGTGCCCCACTAAGGTCGGTGAGGCGAACTCAGAGAAATAGTCAATCACTATACATTCATCTTCTATATCCTACTTATTTGTTGTGGTAATATTTGATATAGCATAGTATTATAACTATTATACAATTTTGTAGTTGTATTATTAGTGAATGGCGGTTATTTTACTAAACGTTTGGTATTTGTATCTTGAATAATAATTATATGGGAAGTAGTATTGTGGGGAGGCTGTAGCCAGGCAAGTAGGCCTCCATGGGCCCTTTTTGCCAACCCCTACTCTCCACATATCTACACATCCCCCTTTTAGTTGTCCTTTTCGAACCTTCCCGTCCTTCTGATGAAGGTCAGGATGTCCGTCCACTCTAATTCGACCAAATCTTCCTGTTGTAGTTTATCTACTCCAAAGATTTCGAATCTCATCCTTCCATACGCCTCACACTCTCCCAGGAAGTGAAGTGATGTCTCCTCATCTTCTCCGCATTCACGGCAAGTGGGACTATCTTCCACACCTATGAGTGATAGGTGTCTGCGTAACCTGCCCTGTCAGTATCCCTATAAGAAGGCGCAGGACTTGGCGATCCCTGCCCAGTAACCAAGCCGTCTTTGGCTTGCTTGGACCGGCCACCAGGTCTCTCGATTGCCTGCAGCCGCCTATACGCCTCCAATATCCTTCTAGTGCCTCGTCCGCCCATTTGTTAAGGGCAGACGAAGTTTGGCTTCTTGTTATGCCCAGTGTAGGCTCCGGTCCCCAGATTGATATGGGAAGCTTGTGAACAATATTAATTTTCCTAACGAGTCCGGAAAGTGATACAGTCCTGTTCGTTGGTTCATACCGCGACCGGCACTATGCGTTGTGAAACCGATGACAACTACAAGCTTGGTATTATTGGAAACGAAGTATGAATATGATAAAACGAAGAACTCAATGTCTATGTCAATATCAATAATGATGTGAATGTGTGAATAAACCTCTAACTATAAAGTGTGGATAAAATAAATTAAATCTCCAAGGACTGTCCTACTCGTTCGTAATGCAGTAATACGTATATAACCTGATATAACCCTCGGTTTTTCTTCAGTGATGTTCCAGGCCCTACAATTATTGTTCTATATTTAGTACAATGCGGCTTTGACAATTTTCTTCGTCAGTTAGCATTTTAAAACACATTATTCTGTACAAAATTCGAGATTGCAAGACGCAAGAGAGCACGAGGATAAAATAATGTTCAAACGTGAGAGTCTAAGAAAATTGAAAAATGATTTAGTGACAAAAAATAAATCTCCCATCAGTACTAGCGAGATCTATAAAAAATACATGACATCACATCCGAAGAAGTTATTTCCTTGTCGAAAGTTCCTTCAAGAGTTGCTTCATTTCAAAATCTGGCAAACGCAGAAGCTTTTAGCATCTTGGCTAATAATGATGCCGATCTGACAACAATGATGAGTGGAGAAGCTCAGCTGATGCAGAAAGTTATATCCAGATAAATCCAAGGTTCTCCCGGTACTAATCGTTCCTTACAAGAGAAGACATCCATATTGATTCTAGAGATTTAACAATATGAAGAACCAATAATTAATATTTTCATTTTTATTAAGCCGGTATACATTTTACCACAAAATATTCTGTGTATAAGATTCAAGATAGCAACTCAAAACGGCTACTTATCAATATGGAATCATTGAAATGTTCTGTTTCAAGTTGCATTCTTGCATATCATGTGATAGTGTCGCGGTTAGAATGTCGGGTTAATCATCAGAAAAATTGAAGAATAATGATTATTGAAGTGTTGAACATAAAAAATTTGCAAATATTACTCCTTTTCCCTTCGAAAGGATGATTCAGGCATTTTACCTGACTTACCCACGTAACAAAAGCCGAATCTGATGAAATCGCAACTACACTTATCATTCACCTCACCTGGCAACCGATACCCGGCGCGCTTTCATTGGATTTACTCGTGCTTAGAAGACGTTTTCTCATCCCTCTCTGCCTACCATTGTACTATCTAAGCTTCTTCTTCTGTCTGCAGACGTGACGGTGGAATACCACAAGGGTCTGCCCCAGATCACCGTGCCTCTGCCCAGCAGGAAGGAGCGATGCCGCTTCACGCTGAAGCCCATCTCTAACACGGTGGGCGACTTCCTCGACATGCTCAAGAAGGAGGACCGGGGCATCGACAGGGTGGTGTGCAAGACGAAAGAGGGTACTAGGATAGCGGCCTCGAACACGATAGAGACGTTGTTGGACGACGACTTCAAGTTGCTGATCAACGATAGCTCGTACAACGTGAATACGCCGAAGCAGGAGAGGGTGACCGGGGAGGAGATACAAAGGTGAGTAGAGAGTAGTGTCTAGTTGTTACTTCCTTTCAGAACAATTTGTATAGAATATTTATTTATTTATTCATTTATTTATTTATTATTTATTTACCTGCATTTGCTCATTAAATTGTACAAAAAACATAATCACGAGCAAAGAGAAATAAAGAAATAAATTTCAATTGAGTAATAAACATCTAGAAGTGTTCCCCGAGGCATATAACCTCCAGCGTAGATTTAGTGTGTATTTAGATCTATGGCTCCAGTTTAATTCAATTCAAACTCATAATTTGCAAAAAACTAAAAAATGAGAAACTAGAATTTCATCTGAACATTCTCAATGACTTTAAAACTTCGTCGATCTCCACCAATTCACTTCACTGGTGTTTTATGTGTTTATATTAATTTTATCTTCCGTTGTTTCCCATATACTTTCCTTAGTTCGACTCTGTGTTTACGAACAACAGTTAGCAGAGTTAAAGTGGAAATCCCGTTTTGTCGTCTGAATGACGGGTAATAATGCTTCGAGACGCTTTTCTGATATCGGAAAAGCGACGGACCTAATCCCATCATATTTCCGTAGAGTGAATCAAAATATTGAACTAGATCTCATAACGAAGAGATCTAGGACGAACAGAGTTGCTCCAATTCTCAACAGGACAGAGGCAGTACTGATTCGGCACACCAGGCCTCATCAGCCGCTCTCGGTCTGCTGAAAACTGGGACACTTCTACGCTCCGGATATAATAATATATGCAAATTGGGGCAACACTGTTCATCCTAGATCTCTCAGTTATAAAATCTTGTTCAATGAATAGGATTGGTGGATTAATCAACTCAAGTAGTCAGGTAGTGCCATCTGTTAGCAGATTGGTTTACTTGTTGAACCACTGCCAGCGTTATAGAGATAGGGGTATGAACGTGTGACTATAGATGGCAGCGTCAGCGTGTGTTGTGATCTTCATAGTCCTACCTTAGAACTATGCCGCTAGATGGCGATGACATGGCTTTATCACAAGGTTGTTAGAATTTGCTACAAAATTATCATCAGTTCTACCAACCTTGCTTCATCATCATGTAATACCCTGCGAATCAAAATATTGCGTTTGAAAACTTGAGATGTTCTCCTCTACTGGATCTTTGAGATCTCAGTTCATCAGGGTTAATGTTCTTATTGAATGACAATTGGTGTAATTGAAAAACAACTGATGGAGATAAAAATGCTGATTAGGGTCATTTGGAAATTTCTTCAGCTCGCATTCATAATTCATATCGTTTCATGGAATTCATGAGGTCTCTTTAATTCACTTGAACTTAATGGAACCTAATTACTGGCGAATATTCATGAAAGATTTACTGCCAGCTCAAAACTATTAAAAGTTTTGTAGAAGAAATGCACGAGAGTTCTATATTTATACAACTCTTCTTTGAACTAAAATTGACTCCAACGAATAATGAAGTTGATGAAAACCCTGAACCCATGAATTTATTTATATCAGCTTATTCCATGATGTACCTTATGGAATAAAATTTCTCGAACAGTCGCTTTCACGAAAACCATCAGATTGTTGATAATATACATATTCAAGATTCATATTTGAGAGATAATGAGTAATACATTTCAAGGTAAGGATGTGCAGCTTAACTTAAATAGGTGAATAAATGAATAATCTACTTGCGAAATTCAAAATTGGCACAAGAAATAACAGGTGATTGTTTTGAACTACACACCATGAAACAACAGACTTATTCTGCTTCCTACTCAAGTCCAGGCGAGAGTCCAGGCTGTTTTATTATATTTCAAATCCTCTCTGTAGGTTAAATCGATGAGTTTCTTATGTTGTCTCATTTTGCTATATACATATACAGTCTAAGTATTTTGTGCAAATTTTTGTTGTGTATAGAATGATTTTCTATGGTTTTTTCATGCGGGCTCAATTTTTTTTTATGTTTTTTGTATCCAAGTATCACAACTGTGTGAATGGAGGGTAGTCTACAAATTTTGTTTGATTACCTACCAAAGCACATCCAAGCGCATTCGCCATAAACTATAAACATCGCTTCCGCCAAATATTAGAGTAAATGATTTTCTTTTATCCGTCTGAGATTTCATCAAATCATATTTCAAATACTAGCTATAATATCAAGCATTACATATTTGGTTTAGACGTGAATAATGAATCAATACTATTCTTCTTTCCACCTTTTTGAGGTTATAGTTTACAGATTTCTGGTATTATGTTATGCAAGTCATAGTGCATTTATGAACAATTGTGTGCCCATGAGGCTACAGATGTTTGTTTTTCTGAGATAATATTTCATTCTGTTATCGTTATAAATCACTGCTCCTATGGAATGGCCAAAGTCAAGCAATGGATATTCTACTGTGACAGCTCTGTTTAATCAAGATTATATAAGTGATTTTTCCGTCGACCTCGTATTAACGACTAAGTTTAATGTATATGAAATCGTTCATTAATGACCCCTATTAATGGACGATTTGTCTATTAATGCACGATTGTTTTATAGGCAACCAAACATACACCGCGTGCATTCATTGTTTATGCTATAACTAGCGGAATCTGCATTTAAATCGAAAATATGGATTTCATCGACGATTTTCCGTTAACGGGTTCGCCTTTCCAAGTTTCTTACACGATTTTAATCCCTGTTTTCTAACAGAAAGAATTTATTTCCTATGTTGATCATTTCGACAAATGTCAAATGACACTAATGTCAGTAACAAGGCTACTGGGTGATTCTTAGCAGTTTCCGGATGGATGATGAATTCGCGAACCAAGTTTTCTTCATTGCAGGAGAAATGAGAAACATAGTCGACGGAAAAATTTTGTAACCAACTTGTATATTAAAAGGCGATTAATGATCTCGAACATTAACGCACTCGCATAGTCCTCATTAATACACTAGTTGGTTAAATAACTATTACTGTGTCTGTGATAATGTAACTGTGAATATTATGAGCATGTTATTGCATTTTCATTTCAAAACCAAAAAAAAAAACGGAAGGTTTCGTACAATATTATGTAAATGATATATTGATTATATGAATAATGAAGATTTTGAATGGCATTTCATGATATTTCCATTGTTAAATCATGTTGCTATTGAAATAATACCAATATTTTTCTTCATAGACTCGAAGAGAGAAAATCCCAAAAATTTAGAGGAATGTTCAATTTTATACGTTTCGAAAACACACTGCTATCATTTTTAATGTTGAAAGGGGACCCAACGCTCTCACACCGAGTACTTACTTATTTACTGATTTATCCTTACCCCACATGATTTTCCTCACCGATCTAATCAAACATAACCACGGCAGGCGTGAAATGTTCCATAAATAATTTTGAAATTTTGCACCTCGTATACAAGAGCGTACCTAATGAACCCCACACCTTCATTATGGTTAGGTCGTAAAAGGAAAATGAATACTCCCAGTGCGATTCTAGATGCAATCGGTATAGTGATATTTATCTAGATTATGTAGTTGTCGCGTTATGCGGTGTATTTTCCTTAATTGTCACATAAACTTACCTCCATTTACTCCGATGATATTAATTGTTCGTGTACAGGATACAGAATTCTGGGAAATGCTCGTGAATACTGAAAAATAACAATTTCCTCATGATATCGTTAAACTAAATACTTGTTTTATAGATATTCGCATTACATACTATAGCAATTTGACTAAATTGGCATCATTTTTCGAATATTTTATACAACACCTATGGTTATTGATGGAGAAAGATACAAATATTCTTCAGTCTTCGTTATGAATCTCACTAGATTTCGTAAATGTGTATGTACCACCCTCTATACAGGGTGTATCTTAAGTACGTGAAGAAATTCCAGCAGCATGTTGCTGACGTCATAATAAGAAGAAAAGTTTGTATAAATATATGTCCGAAAGTTATTCGTTTCTGAGATACGGAGTGGCGAAGTTGAAATCTCATTTTTGTTTTTTTTAAATAAATTTCAGAATAATTGTGATATTGGGATAAAATTTGGTATCTAGTGAATATCAGAAAAGATACGCCAGTGCATTTTTTCTCTTTCATTCAATATTCTTCTCCATTCAACATTGGAATGTAGGCAAAATATGATTCTTACTCATTTGTACCTGCTTTTTTGAACTCTTCCAATAAGAATTCAACTTTGACACTCTGTATCTCAGAAACAGATATCTTTCGGACATATGGATATACGAACTTTTCTTCCTATTTAGACGTCAGCAACATGCTCCTGAATTCTCTACACGTACTTAAGAAACACCCTGTATATCTCTTCAATTTTTGACAGTGCAAGAACAAAAAAACAGCCTCACACAGGGTTATTTTTCCTTCTCCAATCAACATAATTATACATTTTCATTATATATGGAATAATATATAGGGAGCAGCAAGAAGTATGAATTTATAACTGAACACCCTTCATATTACCTCAGCATTGAGAGGACCTAATGAAGAGCATTCCGAAAATACCCTAACTCATTAGTGCATAATGTGTCTTATAATGGACTGTCCTTATCATTTTTTTGTGACTTTATTTATGCAGGCATTAACTGTTTCATAACTGTCAGTGTCACTGGACGTTTTCAGATAGATAACAATTTGTGTTGTACCCGACAAGAACGGGAAGTATTCATTATAACGTAGTATAATGAATTTCAGAATTTCAGATCCCTCAAGTTCTTATTATACGCTGTGTTCATGAACCTATAAGGCTATTCGAATAATTATTTCACTTCTATGACACTCAAAACATCGCTTTTGTGTTGTGTTCATTTTGATGGACTCTATGCACATGGGTCATCAAGATTTTTCGCAGGTCATTCTTGTATCAGCTATTAGACATATAAAATATTACTCAGATATTGATGAGCCAAAGGATGTTGAAGATAATATACCGTTTTTCATCATAGAAAGGAACATAATACATTTTACCTTTACTATTCATTGTATATGTAAATGATTTTTCAGAAATTTTTAAAAAAT